TGCTCTTTTGCACCACTTTAATGATGTTGCTATTTACACATTCAGTGGTGCATTCTGCTTTAATTTCATGACGATGTACGCATTTGGTAGCGTATTTCACTTTAAATTACTTTGTTATGTAGCAAGGTAAAACCCATCCAAGGTATTTTAGTTTTCTACATAGCAAAGTGCAACGGTGCACAGGGTGCTGGAAGCCCAGACATGCTTGGGGAAGCTCAGACTTTGTGGGCTTCCAGCACCCCGTGCACTGTCCCCCTGTTTTCTCCCGCAACCAGCACACCCAGCCACCCTCCTGCCACCTTGCCACTCTTCCCCAGGGGCAAGCCAGTCTGTTCCCAGGCACTCCCAGGTGGCAGGAAGGCGGCAGGGACAGTGCACAGGGCACTGGAGCCTACTTGCCTCTCCTGCAGCTGGGAGGCAAGCTGCTAGTGGGCCAAGTGGCCCCTGAGCTGTGGGGGACCCCAGACCTTCTTCCACAGCGTCAGCGTCCCCCCACCTCAGGCCGTACCCACCCACTAGCATCCAGCCTGGGCAGTCCCACGCAGCTCAGGGCCCCATGCAGCTCAGGGGCTCTGCAACCCAGTGGCAGCTCATGCAGGCAGGCTTCACAGGAATAAAAAAGAAAAAAGCGGTGAGGAACTGGAACTTTTTTCTTTCTTTTGGAGCCTGCCTGCCTTGCCTGAACTGTGCAGGGCCAGGTGCTTCTCTCCATGGCAGCAGCACCCCCCGGGACTGTCTGGGTGGGCTGCTAGCGAGTGGTTGCTGCCTGGGGGGGTGTTGCCGCCATGAAGGGAAGCACCAGGCCCTGCACAGCTCAGGTAGTTAGGCAGGCTCTTGGATGAATACAAAAAAAAAAAGATCAGCTCCTCGCTGCTTTTTTCTTTTTTGTTTCCTCAGTTGAGCCTGCCTGAATGAGCTGCCACCAGGTTGTATGGCCCCAGAGCTGTATGAGGCCCGGTGCTTCCCTCTGTGGTGGCAGTGCCCCCTGGGACCATCCGGGCCAGGTGCTAGCAGTCAGGTGCCACCGGGGGGGGGACACCACCACTATGAAAGGAAGGACCAGGGTCCCCTGCAGCTCAGGGACCACATGGCCTGCCAGCAGCTCACCCCCCCCCCCCCACCCCCCCTCTCGAGGCAGGTAGGCTCTGGGGGAAAACAGGATTGGGCTCCTCAGTGCTGTTTTTTTAATGGTGAAGCCTGTGGAACAGGGTGGGGGAGGAGGGTGAGCTGACAGGGGGCCATGACACACTAATGTCACAGAAGTCCCTAAATTTAAACGGTGAGTTTTTAATTGGTGGATTTTTAATTGTGTCATTTAAAAACCCACCATTTCAATTTAGGGCAAACTAAACCCACATTGTGTGTACAAGAACCCTAAGAGATCAGGCCTAGAGCCACTAAGGCCAGGGCTCTGAACAAGAGAGGCAGTGCCAGAGGGGCCAAAGCCAAAGAGACTGTTTGTGGGTGGGGGAACCCTGAGAGACTGTTTAGAAGAAAGCCACCAGAAGGAGCTCCTCCACCCTTAGAAGCAACCTCCCCAGATAATCATATTTAAAATCAAAGCATGGCAGGCAAGAGAAAGGTTAAGAGAGCAGGGGTGCAAGACAGGGCAAGTGGTGCCTCTAGGGGGAACCATGACCAGCCTTGAGGGTCAGGTTCTTGCTACAGCAGGATGTGATAGAGATCTATAAAATCATGAAGAGTGTGGACAAAGTGAACAAGTAACTGCTATTCCCCAAGTTTCAGAATACTAGGGGGCACCCACTGAAATTAGTAGGAAACAGGTTTGAAACTAACAAGAGAAAGTACTTTTTAATGTGTATAATTAACTTGTAAATTCAGTTACCACAGGAGCGTATAGGGGTAAATAATATAGGTAAGTTAAAAAGGGGACTAGACAAATTCATGGGTGATAAATCTATTAATAGCTATCAAATAAAAAGGTTGAAGATATTTTCTCTGGCATCTCTAAACCAATAATGGTGGATGCTAGGGAGAATATTAAATAGAAGATAGATCACTAGATATATGTGGTCCAATGCTGTCTTTCTAAAGTATCCACTCCTGCCACTGTTGTCAGCAAGTTTCTTGGTTAGATAGACTGTTGGTCTGGCTCAGTATGGCACTTCTTATGCTCTTATAAAATTCTCCACTAAGCAGAAATCATTGGCATTCACTCAATGATTGTTGAAGTGTAGTTGTAGTGGTCCAGCCACATGTTGAGGATGTTGGATCACCACTTGCCAGAGAATTTTTTAAACAGAAAGTTGGCCTCTCATAGAAGAAAACATGGTAGACTTAACAAATGGTGTTAGGCTCAACTTAAGGCATCCAATAGTTATTATAAACAGAAGAAACTTACACAGAGTAACATAATATGGTGTCAACTACTTTATTCAGGAATATCTGGTTTTAAGAGCCAGCACCTTCAAGATATTTAACTGCTGTACCAGAGAAAAAAAGTTTCAACATAAATTTATTTTACTGGTGTGATGGAGGCATTGCTAAGATTCTCAAGCATTTCCCTCTTATCTATATCCAGTTAGGGTATCTTAGCATTGTTCTCCTAACACCTCAGGCATTCTAGTGATAGAAGGCAGACAGCCCCCAAACTCAAACAGCAGCTCTCAAGCAACAGACTACCTAACTCCCATTCTTACCAAGGCACCAGGCCGTGTGACAGACTCATGTGCTAGCTCTGCCTCCTCATCAATATAGACCACATAAACACTGAACCAAATAACATGGAATATACCATATTTACTAAATTCTAAGCCAAGGTTCTCCCCTATTTAACATGGGTGGAAGCCCCTGGTCTTAGAATTGAGTACAAGGGCAGTGGGGAGGCAAAGGGGAGGGGGGGACGGGGAGAGGTAGTGACAAGTGGCCTCTATCTGCACCTGCTGCCTGGGCGCTCCCCTGCCACCTTGCATCCTGCCATCTCCCCCTCCCTATGCAGCCTCTGTTCCCTGCCTGCCCGCCCTTCTCCCCTTACCTCGCCCTTCTCCCCTTACCCTTGCTCTGCATGAGAAGGCTCCATCCATGCTGCATCATGAGGTACTGAGCACGGCCCTAGCCCAGCCCATAGCAGTGGCACACAGCCCACACAGCTGCTCAGGATGTTGGGCTGGGGTCAAGCTTGGTGCCCCAGGCTAGAATGGGGACAGATCCTGTTGGTGTGGAGCGGAGGCTGGGGCAGAGAGTGGAGCAGAGGCTGGGGGGTGGGGGCCAGAGGTGGCAGGAGGACAAGCACAAGCAGGGGGCCAGCTGCTTGACTTCCCCATACCACCTGCCTCCCCACTGCCTGCCCCCTGCAGTGATAGGAGGGATGAATTAAAGATGTCTCTCCAATAATTAGATTCTATACATGGAAAATGATAACAAATTTATAAATTGTCCACATATAGAATCTAATTATTGGGGAGTCATCTTAAATTCCAGGTCATCCTAGATTCGAGTAAATATTTCTCAAGGTTCACTCACCTGCAGCTCTACTAACATCATAGATACCATCACCTGCTTATAATGCCATTCTGATGTCTACATTGGACAAATTGGGTGATCCCTACATGTAAGAATGAATGAACACTGATCTAATATCAGCTGCAGAAAGAAACAGTAGCATGTAGTTCAAGAACACTTTAAACTCCCTGGATGTTCCATCACGGACCACAGGATTGATGTTCTCAGCCAGCAACATTTTTAAAAATGAGTCTGAATGGGAAATTACAGAACAAATCATCCACATACTGGATTGCATTAAGTATAGTCTATAAACAGGGACTAAGGATTCTTATTCCATTAACTGGATTAACTTTTATGACCTCTTTGTTTCAATGGGTTTGTGTGCTTGTTTGCCTTTCCCAGCATTACCCCCTTCCTCCCTCTCTGCCTTCTGTAGTCAAATAATTCTCTCCATGTTATACGCTGCTCTATGCATGTCCTTTCACAGCATCTAATAAGTGAGCTTGGGATCACAAAGCTATAAATCTCTAATTTAGTTAGTCTATAAGGTGCAAAGGTGTACCCAGCTTTCTAACTGGCATCAGACTAACACGGCTAAATACCTTCTAATGATAACCTCAGATGAAATCCACTTCCAAGACAACAGTACCTGTTACTACTACAAAAGTTAATTTCGCCTGCAGATAACTCAAGTTCAGTGGGAGTTGCCTTTCTTCTCTTGTTTGCAGTGGCTGCTAATTAATATTCACTCATTTAAATTTTGCTGGTCAAGTTACTCATCCAGTGCTAGATGTTTTCTATGAATTAGACTAACTTCAGGGCCTGAGTTCTGCAGGAGCTTCCTTCACAGTAAGTGTATTAGTGTTTGCATTACTGTCTTCAAAACCGAAACTGTTAGTAAAAGGTTTCAGCGTCACCAACTCAAATCTCAGGTATTACAGATTTCAGTCTTTATCTGACCAGTAAACTTCAATGATTGTCACCAGTTGTAATACTTGCAGTATGCCAGTAAGCCTTTTTATTCCATAAGTATCAATTACAGTAGGCATAGGCAAGGCTCAACTTCTGTTTACCCCTCCCTGCCATCAGAGTCAAGTTTATAACATAAAATATGCTTAGCCCTAAAAAGGCCAACCTTGCTTCTCACTTTAAGTACCACTGTAAAGACAAACCGCTTTAGCTGGAATGGCTAGCAAGAGATTTAAAGCTTGTCACTAGAAATTAACATTTTCACTGTGGATAAAGCTTAAAGGCTTAAAGAGAATTGTTTTTCCTTGCCTAAAAAGTAACTTTCTAGATCAGTTGTCCCTGCCTGAACTTGGTATCATTTATCTAGTATTTGAGGTACTAGAACATGATGCACTTATTTGAAAAGAGTGCAGAAAGTATTGTGTTCTGTATTTCTGTATGAAAACTGAATAGTGCTGAAATGAAGAAAGGTACTGTGCCTTTAAGAAGGCTTTCAAGCAGTCAGTGAGGTGGTTGTTTTTTTTTTTTTTTGGTGATGTCACTGGAAACAGAACCACCCATAGAGTTCAGTGGAAAAAAGAAGTCTGGCCTTCAAAACCGGAGGCATTTTAAGAAATGCAGTTCATTTTCACTTTGTTATGAGGGGGAAGATCCTGAAAACAGAAAAGGAAGGATTATATAAAGAGTTTTGATCAAGAGTTTTTGATGCAATTGAAATGGGGTAAGTTTGATGTTTTAAGAAATGCAGTGAGCTTTCATTTAATAAAAAGGGTAGAGAGCCTGAATGCAGAAGAGGATGAATTATATAGAAAGACTTTGGATCAAGAATTTTGATTAAATCAAAATAGGGCAAGCTTGGACCTTCCTGTGTGCAGGCACATTTTCTCCCTTGATTATGAAATGAACCTCCTGATTTGTTGTATAACATTGTTAGCTATTTTAATAATAGCTCTACCCATTATTTCAAAATTTGCAGCAGAAATTGATTTTCTAAAAACAAACTAAAATCAGCATATAAACAGTAACTAATTTCCTTAAATTAAACCATTTTTTAAATATCTCTAAGGAATTTTTAACTTAAAAATGTTATCTTTGACTCGTGTTTTGGTTTACTGGAATTAAGCTGACATTTTGCACAGTAACATTTTCAGTCCAGAGTTAACTGTACATGCACAGACAAGTACAATAAATATGGGGTTGGGGTTTTTTTTCTAATTTTTTTTTGTCTTTGCCTGGGGTGGTAACGATCTCTAAACAACTTATCTTGAAAATTGCAGGTACAAAATTCTTTTCTGTATCTATATGACACTGATACTTCAGGTATTAAGGTCTTATAAACAGTGATTGCTTAATGGCAAGTTTGTGCCACTGCCAGGGAAGTTTGGCACCAGGGAACATGCCCTGGCTGCCTGAGTGGTAATGCTTCCACCCACCCCCACCACCTCCTTGCCTGAGAGCGAAGGGGGCATCATGGTGATGACGCCCCCCCC